CAAGGACACCCGTATAGATCCCTATGGATACTAGTAGGCTGGTGAAACGAGAAACGGTGATGATTAGTTATTGTTAAAGAATACGAATTTATGATATGTTCTATGTTACTGATTATGTATAAAATTACGATCTGTATGATATTACTATTTCATTAATTTGTTTTCCATAAATTCTCCAATTGTAAGAAAAAAAGGTAAATGGTTTTATTTTAAATAAATGTGTTAGTTTAAATCTACTACTCCATTTGTTGTTTTGATTTTCTACCAATATTTGCTTATGTGACGGTGATATAGTATGATGTTCTTACTGGGCTAGTGTAGCTCATTCATTATTTAACAATTTCAGATCAGGAGGATCTGGTTCCCGAGCCCGATCTACAAGAAGATTGTGAGTAGATGCTAGATGCTTTATACTTTACTTTATTTTTCTCATTTCTCGTATTTCTTTCAGAGAACTTATTTCATGATGTTTGTTTAGTACTTTTAGTTATTGTGTAAGAAATGTTAATCTTAACATTTTATTTCGCTTCCGTACTCAGATTATTATATGTATTCCCTTTTGAATTTCCGGGACGGGGTATGGAAACTTGGTCAATCGGCGCTCATACCGGACGGAGTATGGGAACGACCCTGGAATTAAAATTGTTAAGGAAAATGGTTCACGTGTAGCGGTGACACCCCTACGGATCCCTATGGATACTAGTAGGCTGGTGAAACGAGAAACGGTGATGATTAGTTATTGTTAATAAATATGAATTTATAATATGTTCTATGTTACTAATTATGTATGAAATTGTGATCTGTATGATATTACTGATTCTATAATTTGTTTCCATAAATTCTCCAATGGTAAAAAAAAAAAAAGTAAATGGTTTTATTTTAAATAAATGTATTGGTTTAAATATACTGCTTCATTGGTTGTTTTGATTTTCTACCAATATTTGCTTATGTGACGGTGATATAATATGATGTCCTTACTGGGCTAGTGTAGCTCATTCATTATTTAACAATTTCAGATCAGGAGGATCTGGTTCCCGAGCCCGATCTACAAGAAGACTGTGAGTAGATGCTAGATGCTTTATAATTTACTTTATTTTTCTCATTTCTCGTATTTCTTTCAGAGAACTTATTTCATGATGTTTGTTTAGTACTTTTAGTTATTGTGTAAAAAATGTTAATCTTAACATTTTATTTCGCTTCCGTACTCAGATTATTATATGTATTCCCTTTTGAATTTCCGGGACGGGGTATGGAAACTTGATCAATCGGCGCTCATACCGGACGGAGTATGGGAACGGCCCTGGAATTAAAATTGTTAAGGAAAATGGTTCACGTGTAGCGGTGACACCCCTACGGATCCCTATGGATACTAGTAGGCTGGTGAAACGAGAAACGGTGATGATTAGTTATTGTTAATAAATACGAATTTATGATATGTTCTATGTTACTGATTATGTATGAAATTGTGATCTGTATGATATTACTGATCCTATAATTTGTTTCCATAAATTTTCCAATGGTAAAAAAAAAAAATAAATGATTTTATTTTAAATAAATGTATTGGTTTAAATATACTGCTCCATTGGTTGTTTTGATTTTCTACCAATATTTGTTTATGTGACGGTGATATAGTATGATGTCCTTACTGGGCTAGTGTAGCTCATTCATTATTTAACAATTTCAGATCAGGAGGATCTGGTTCCCGAGCCCGATCTACAAGAAGACTGTGAGTAGATGTTAGATGCTTTATACTTTACTTTATTTTTCTCATTTCTCGTATTTCTTTCAGAGAACTTATTTCATGATGTTTGTTTAGTACTTTTAGTTATTGTGTAAGAAATGTTAATCTTAACATTTTATTTCGTTTCCGTACTCAGATTATTATATGTATTCCCTTTTGAATTTTTGGGACTGTTACAAAGATATTAAATTTTTGTAATACATAAAATAATTAGGCCATGTTTGGTTGTATTTCTCTTTTATGTTTTAATCTTTTTTTTTTTTGTTATTGTGAAAGAATTGAAGTTTTATTAAATAATAAAATATTTTTATAAAAATACAAATATAATTAGTATATATTATTAAATATAAATTTAATTTTTCTTAATATAAATATAATTATAATAAAATAATCAAGTCATATTTGAGTCTCTTAACCCGTAAAATTTAACGTGATCAAAAAAATAAAATAAAATTTAAATTCATTCCGAATTCGAATTAAATTCTTTATATAAGACAGAGTATGTTTGATTATGCATATAAAAGAAAGTTTATTTTTAATTTTTTTCTACGGTCTAAAATCAAATTTGTTATTTTAAAAAAAAATAATTAATTATAAATATTGACACTTTCTTTTTTCGGGGTCCTAATCCAATTTAGTTATCATTAATGAAAGGAACTAATTGTAAATTAATGGTAAGGGATTAAATTAATTACGTTTAAAATTTGATTAGCGGTGGAGAAACTTATCAATCCACTCCACTTGAAGGGACCCACAAGTGACACGTCAACAGTCAGCGCCCGTCAAACTCATACAACTTTATGACTTGGAAAATAATGTGGGGCCCAGGTAAGTGGTACGACGGTGTGGGGCCCACATCATACTAATCCACTCCGTTTTGACCCAATCCATGTCGCCTCGTGTGCCGACTCTTATTCCTACTTAAATACACGTGAATCACTCAATTCTCATTTCACTCCCAATAATTTGAAATTTTATTTTTTATTATTATTTTCTTAAATAATTAAGCAACTCTATATATATATATATATATATATTTAAAATGTAAACTTATATTCTTTTAAAAAATTAAAATTACATTTAGTTAAAAATATTTATATATATATATATTTTTTACATGAAAGATAAGAAAATATGTATACATTTGATGTCAATTAATTTCTTATGCAAGAAACAAAATAAATTTTGGTTTAACTAAAATAAATTAAATTTTCCTATGTGTAAATAATTTTAGTTAATTTAGTATAAAATAATAAATTCCATTTTTATAATTATCTTACTAAATAAATTTATATCATTTGTATCTCTAAATTAGTTAATTATTAAAATATTTATATTATTTTAAAGATTACATTAAAAATATGAAGTTTATCATTTTATAAGTTTTACTATAATGAAATTATAATATTTGATTCAGTGATATCGAAAATTTAATTTATTATTAAATGAAGATAAATTTTAAAAAATTATTGGATTTTTGAGGATTTTTTTTTTTGAATTAAAATATTTATAATAAATTAAATATTAGATATCATTTTTTAAAAAAATAAAAAAGCTATCTAGTTGCTAATATATCTATTTGCCATCTTAAGAAATAGACAAATGCAGCTTCCCCAAAAGGTGGAAAAGGCTCCCTTGCATTTTCTTTCCTTTTATGTTTGTGTGTATATACATATACATATACATATATATATATATATATTCCCCAAAAACATATGTATAGGTCATTGATAAAGGAAATAAACGAAAGAAATTGATAAATATTTGTATCATTTTATGTGACTGGTCCAATAAATAACTTAATTTGACCGACTCATAAATTTATTAGTATTTATTGATATAGGTAAATCTTACAAAATTACAATATATGAGGTTCAAAACAACAACTCTAGCAAGTTTAATCATATGCATACTACCATTTACAAAACAATCTCGAAGAAAGACTAACATCGAACTAATTTAATACGTATTTTTATAATCATTTCGCTTATAAAATGAATGTTGAGTATATGATCTACTTTACTGTTTACGCACTTATTATAAATAAAAACTAATAAAAAATAAGAACGACAGGTAAAAAAATAAAAAAAATAAAAATTTAATTTAGAATTTCTAAACTCTAAAATAAAAGCGTATTATTGTCTTAAAAAGATTTATTATATTTATTTTAATATATTTTTTATGTATATATCACGAGCATTAAATTAAAATGTATAAATTTAAAAGAACGTGGATAATCAAATTTAATTATTGTTACCATGGGTATAATATAATATATTTATATATATATTATTTATTCATTACTAAAAAATTAAATCTCTAAATATTCATAACTCAAATATTGGATATTTGTAATTACAAAATAAATGTGGACCGGTGAGGGTCAAGAAGTTGATAAAACAGTGGAGATAGCTTACAGTGAGACTGTCCGTAGCTTAAGATTACTAACACTGTGCAAAATGACAAAACATAAGTGGGCCCACAAAGCTCACAGGTTGAGTATCGGACAGGCATCAACAGGGTCCCCCCACCCTAGAAATCAGTATTTTAATCTAGCGGCTCTGATCATGCGTGACTAAATTCATTAAAATAATTGCGGGTGCAGAGCATCGAAGTCTGCGCCTAACACCCTTAGCTTACGTCATCACTCATGAAACCCAAGAACTGGGCCCCACTCCCCCCCCAACCCACTCCAATTATGCACATTGCTTTTGCCTCCACACTGTAATGGAGGAGATAAACCATCATCACACGGTATCAGGTTTTCAAATGAATGGCCCTGATGATCTATTCCCCCGGCGGGTCCCACCTTTGAAATTGAGATAATTCAGTGAGAGGTAGGATCCTGTGTGGATATATGTAGGAATTTTTGGGGATT